GAGTAGCGAAGGCATGAATAAGTGAATGAATACATGAATGAGCGAGTTTTTATAGAGCAGTGAGTGAGAGGCCAGAGGTTAAACTCTCAGAGGAGAGTAAATAGAAGTGATGTGTTGAGGCTGAGCTGAAGTTCATGTGTATGTGTGTTTGCTATGATGAACAGGATTAGATTAGATGAGCTCTGCTGTGAACATGTCAGCCGCTCACTGAGACAAGTGCAACGTTATGCCATAGACTGCTCTATTAAACACACAACACTTGCTAAATATTTCAACACTGTTTATACATGTCAGACGCTTCATTATCATCTGTGTACATGTGTGTGTGTTTTCTTCACATACACATTCTGAAATCAGATACAAGCACTCAATCGCCACATATACATATCTGCATCTGTACACAAATAAATACAGATACTTAAGAAAGCACACACTTCCCTTTTAACAACAACTTTAAAACAGAATAACACGTCAACAGCACAACAACCCATATGCATGGGTGAATGATCTAAATGTGGGATTTTTGTCTTGTCTTGCTGTGGAAAGGGGAAGGCCACAATGATCGTATTTTCCTAATCTCTTTCTGATCAAGTGATAGCTATGCTCATGAACAAATAATCTAAAATAAAATATCAGTGACCATTTCCTGACCAGCCTAAAAAATCCCCGATGACAGCGTGAAGTTCACAGCCACAGCCAACCACAGAAACCCCCTCTTCATCAGGGAGTAAACCTACAACACAAACAAAACACTCAAACTAACAAGCCACTTTCACACACAGATACCATGGCATCGCATCAGAGACGCGCTGGGTAAATTTCCTTTTGAAATGTCACTCTTTGGTGGTAATTTTCTGACCTGACAAACGAGTGTCATGCTAATGCTAACTGTAGAGGCCTCTAGCATCAGACACAGGCTGTAGAAGAAATACTGATAAAATAACTAGTGTTGTTTTAACGGTCTATGAAACATGGAGCTGTGACTCAGGTCTGTATTACAGACATTGTGGGTTTGTTTGTAAGCGAAGAGTGTTGAGCGCTGAGCTTCTACATTACACACACTCCTGATGATGAGTAATGAAATCATAGCACATGTAAATGGGTGGGGACAAACTGATATAGCTACTTTTAAAAACAACAAAAAAGTGTAGGATGATGGGAAGAAAGATGAGCACTATATGACAACAAAGAAACAAACACAGGCATCGTTGATAGCAGCGCTGCTTCTCTCACAAATTTTGCTGTAGACTCAGGTTGACTTAAATATACTTTACACAAAGACATGAAAGCAAAACAAATCTATCTACTAAAATCTAGCTTAATTTCATGCTCCATTTACAACCTGGTCTCAAAACAAAACATGACTATTTTACAATTTTGTATTAATTTATACGATGTGATTTGTACGGAAACCTATACGGCATAAGCAGATCATATGAAAACGTACACATTAATTCGTACAAGTTTATACAAATCAGCCACCAATTTACCAATATGTAAAATAGTTCTAAATTGCCATGAGAGTGTGTTCCAGTTGAGTCCACTTAATTCACAAAGCAATATACCGTATAAGACAATACAAGCGTGTTGCATTCTTAGTGTTGCCACAAGGGGGGCACAATTAGCAGATATGAGCGTAAACTCTTCTTCCATGGTCAGCTTTATCTTTCAAATCAACTAATGTCAGAGAAAATGTCTGAAGAGACTTTCCTGTTGTACTAGCTATACTAACTTGCTACCTATGTAAATAACAAAACATCGATTTTTCTGCCACAATCAACTGAGAGTAACTCTACTGCCCCCTTATTCCCGCCAAAATAATACAAGAACATTATAAAACAGCATTGTATGTTTGTACAATGCTAATGTATGCTTCTAATGTGCTGGCTAAACATTGGTGTCTCTCTTTGCGCACTTGCGCCAAATATGTTTCTAGTACACCTACGCAAGTTATCTAAAATATTATCTAATGATTTGACAAAAAACATGAACGGAATCACAGAATCCAGTCACAAAAATGTAATTTTCTGTACAACGTGGAATGTTTTGGAATTTGGGAAAATATGGATGAATAAACCAATAGTAGGGCCGTATACTTAATCAAATCGCAATATGGAATAGTGTCCGCAAAAATGCATTGAAAATAAATTAAAATAAATATAATCCAGAAAACATGTAATTTGAGAAAAACTATTTTAAACTTAGCAGAATGCAACAAACAAAAATGTAAACCATTTAAACCATACTGACTGTAATATTGTGATGTTTCCCCAAAGTTTGGGAATCTGTATTCCAGGACACATGCCCATTATAACGCCTGCATATTCTGCAACAAGTTTCAACACCTGCAAACATCTGCTAAACATCCAGTGTGACCTCACATCCCCTCTCTAGAACTGTGATGGCTTGATGCCTCATGTTTGTCAGTGGTCAGTAAGACGCTCTGAAAGGGAATGTCCATTCAACAGGGGCCTGAACAAGGGCGCAGTGAAACTTAAGCACGTGCAAAGAATAACTGGTATGCAAACAGTCCCTATAGCATGATCTGAGTCTTATCTTACAACATTCATGAAGAAAACCGTATCAATAAGATGATTAGGATAATATTTTAGCAGACAAGAGAAGCAGCCAGAAGCTTTAGACAGTAGCCTGACTGTCTTTTTGGTCTTGGCTGTCTAATCATGTTAAAAACCATATCCTCTCTCTCACACACACACACTTCACAAAGTGCAGGTTGAGAAATATCCTGCAGCTCGCCAGAAATTCATACCAGTAGCATGGTAATTTAGATATACAGTTCTATAAACATGCCAACCACCAATTACAAGCTTCTTAAAACCATTAGTCTGTGCACAATGCATCTTGGACATCAGCATCCTGAGATCCCATTTACTGCTGTCAGCAAACGACACCCTTAACCGTGCAAACCATTACTCCTGCAACTAGACACTTCCTGTGCCCTTTAACCAAATCTGAGAAAAGTCTAGCTGCTGACTGGATCTCAACACGGACAGAAATCACTTATGAAGGCATTTATAGAGTCCCTCTAATTACTAAAGCTGTCATGTTGTTTAAATCAGATTTAAACATGTTCATGTCACATATAACAGGTGGGTGATAAAATACACACCCACAAAAAAAGAATCCTTGGTTATTTAAACAAAACAAACCATCCTGGCCACAGTAGCTGCTCGCATAGGTTTTGGACAAACATGTCTGCCTCAACTCCTCAAGAATCCACCAATTCAGTAGGAAAATTACAGCTGAGTCCAAAACCCAAAGCAGGGCATGAGGGCTTTCAGAACATGCCATCTTTCTCTCACCCTGATCCGACTCGTCCAAGCCTGAGCCTGTTTTGTGTACCAAGCAATATTCTCATCTTCACTGAGGATCGGCCCATATTATCAAATGACATCCAAAGCAATTTGCCGTTTTGCAAGTCCTTGGTTCCTTAGCGGACTGAGATTTACACACGGTTAAGAGGGATGATTTTAGATTTGAAAATGTTTCAATTCCATTTAGAACGTAATTAAATTGACCTCAAAAGCTTGACTAGCATATTAGTTTGGCTTATAGGGGCCAGTGCGTGAGGAATATAAATGTGTACTATTTGTGTCGCACACAAAGGTATGGGTGTGACTTTTGTGAGCATGCGTGTGTATGCAGTACAGTGAGCAGGTGTGTACTTAGATGTGTGGAGTCTTGCACTTGATATTTGATCTGTGGGGTTGGGTCAGCAAGTGCAGTTATTTCTGTTGGAGCCGCAGGTAGCAGGGCTGGCAAACAGAGAGGATGAGAGAGTGCCTCGAGAGTTAAGTAGGTAAACTCGCGCTAAGCTGATGCAGATCTCCGCGAATTCCCCTCCCTCTCTCCTTCACTTTATCCCTTCTTCTCCACACTTCAGAAGACCTTGGGGCACCCCCCGTCCCAACACACTAGCACACACACATACAATTTAATCCTCATACCGCCACCAAGGTCAATTCAATTATCCTGTTTTCTTAAAGTGTGTGTGTGCCCATTTCACAGTCGGCCTGCACGAATTCACCAGAGATTAGAGCTGCCACACTTTTAATGATCTACATACCTATAAGCAACAGTATCCGAGACAGGTAGGGCCTCATCCCCGCTTGCTGGCGTGATCTGTTCTTCAGCACGGATTTTGTTTTTAGGTTGATGAGGCTGCCTCGCGTCCCATGTGTCTTTCCGATGTTAATGAGGAAATTAGTTTTTTCAACCCCAAATTCCCCACCTCAATCTGTAGTTTGTCATGCTGCTATACTATTAGTGCTACAACAATAATTTTCAACTTCATCAGAGTTCTATTTCTATCTGGGTTCGAATTATACAATCAAACACGGTGGCAAAGTATTACAGAAGACCTGACTCTCACGGGATCCACGAGGCAGTGCTCGCAACAATGAGAAACAAACTTTGTGACTGTTAAAAAGTATGGTCCACATAGTATGAATGAGTGTAGTACGAATGTAATCCGGACACTCTACATCCAACACCTACAACGTCAGCTGTATCGCTTCACTGCCATTCACAACTCCTCTCCTGAAGCCTTGTGGGATAGGAAAGTGTCCATTGGATGTGTACTGTTTCATGAATACCAGGATACAGAAATACTACTTATTTCATGCACTTTGCACCTATTATTTCTAGGATGGGCAACTCCGGTCCTGGAGGGGGCACTGTCCTGCAGAGTTTAGCTCCATCCCAAATTGAACATAGCTGAAATATCTAACCAAAGTCTTCAGGATTACTAGAAAATTAAGTGTTCTTGATTAGGGATGGAGCTAAACTCTGTAGGGCAGTATCCCTCCGTAACCAGAGTTGCCCATTCCTGTACTATATAGTAGGCATATTCAGTCTCTTCTGCAAGACCAAACATCCTTTGATGAAAGGTCAACAATCGGCTCGATGATGTTTTCACAATGTGATATCATGACAGTAATAAAGGAAGCAATAAAGCAACCAGTACACAGTAATCCTACCTGGAATGTCCTGGTTGCCGTAGCTCCAGCCTGGATTGGACAGCATGGATGGCAGCGGCGACGCTGTCCGACTGTCCCCTTCATTCTGTTGGGTTATGTGCCTAACCGTGTCCTTGTTTTTGCGGTTCTTCCTGCGGCCCGAGCCAGGGGGTTGCCAGCCCCCCTCTCCTCGTCCACCTTGCTCCCCAGGCGTGCCTTGTGCTCCTCGGCCAGCCCCATCTTGCAAATTGGAGGGGGAGACCTGCTCCTCTTTGACCTGGACAGAACGGTAATCAGCAGGCCACAAGGGCTGCAAACAAGCATCCTCCTGGCTCTCATGGCTTTTGGGTTCCTGGTCTTCTTTGCCGTAGTTGCTACCGCCTTCGTGGCAGCTAGCGATGGCTGAGTCTCCAGATGAGTTTGCCGGGCTGGTGCGTCTGGCCATCCACGGCGAGGAACTGCGGGCTGAGATCATGGACGCCAGTGCTTCTGAGGCTCCGCCCACACCGGGCCCAGCCCCGCCTCCCATAGAGCTCACCACATTGCCCATCTCAATATCCGCAAGTTCATCTGCAAGCTCGGAGCGAATGCTGATGTCTAGCGCTGCCTTGATGAAGCCGTGACACGCTTGCACTATGTCGGTCATCTGCAGGTAGCTGGCGGCCGACATCACCTCGATCACATTCTTGCTTGTGAGCGCCAAGTGGGCGGAGTACATGAAGTCAATGATGGTCTTGAAGCCTTGAGCTGTGACGATGTCCAGGTGCGTGATGGTGGCCTGCTGCTCTGAGCCCTTCTTCACCTGGCAGTAAAGAGTCTTGAAGTAGCGACTGCTGCCCAGCAACACGTTCTTGTGCGCTTTGAAGATCTTGCCCTCCACGACCAAACACACGTCGCACAGGATGCCGTGCTGCCGCTGCTCGTTCAGCTCCCGCAGGAGCTGCCGGTAGTGCGACGTGATCTCCATGTCTTCCTTCCGGTTATTCATTGGACTAACAGGTGGCTGCTTCTCCTGAACAGAGTCTGGAGGAGGACAACATACAATACACAAACCCTAGTTAGTACAGTTGCAGTAGATGCAAGAAACAGACCACAAGTTTCTGCATAAAGAGAGAATAGCAATGTCTGGAATGAAATACTACTGTAGCTCACACTAATAGTAGACTACTGTGAAACAGTTGGCATTATTTAACAATAAACATTTTAAAAAGTAGTATGCCACATTGTTGTCATACATTAAGTATGACCACATTAAGTTCCATGTGAGTGCCATCCAGTTATTGTTATCAATAAAAACGGTTATATTGCATTTTGCAATTTAAAACGTGCTGCAAAAGTTTTAAAATAAAACATTATTTTCAGCATAATGTTGATTACCAGAAAAAATCATTTTGACTTAAAGCAAAAATACATACAGTAACTCGCAATTGAAGTTCCAGTCTCTGGAGGGTTTAAGGGACAAAATATGAAGGTCTTATTTTTGTTAAGGCAGTTACATTTAATTAAAAAAACAATAATGTTTGAGGTGTACAGTTGTTTAAACTGGGCCATGTCTAAATTATTTTCTGCTGTAATCAACATTATACAGCAAATTCTGTTTTGATTGAGCTTGTATTGATAGATCCTAGAATGTTCCCTCATTTTTTGCTGATCTAATCAAATAACAAGACAATAAAAAAGAGATGATAAATAACTGTCAAATTAAATGCATCACATTGTGGGATACAGTATTGTGTGAAGTGTGCTCTGTTGTTTGCTGCACATTTGTGCAATCCTGGTATTCTATAAATATAGGCAATTCACATACTATGCACAGTTTACAAACTACATACTGTAGAAATATAACAATGATGTTATTATGTCAATCCAAACACAGCCAACGACTGAACAGGAGGCTCAGATTAATACAGTAAATGTAAATTATCCTGTCTGGACACTGGTTAAAATCATCTTAAAGCAACAAATACTACCATGTATACATACAAATATACTTTACAATTTTAATTCGGTTTTTATTGCATTGCAATAATGAGAATGGGATTCCTTTATTTGCATTACTGAAGGCTACTGAGAATTGTGAGTTAATGTGCTTAACTGTCATGAAAATAATGTCATGATGCAATTACAGCCCTAAAATTGGCTTCTTTTTATTGTTTTTTTTTTTTTTTATATATTTTGGGGTGAAATGCAACCCAGTCAATATTTGACAGTTTTTGTGAGATTTACCCCATGCTTCCCCCCTCTTCCCAGCTGAGTGTGTCTTGTGTTTATAGTTTCTCTCTCTTTCCTCTGTGCACATTCAAGAACAATGCATTGCCTCGTCTAGCTCTCCTCCCCCACCTCTCTATCTTAATGATTATAGCAGAGATGCTCAGGTGTTCACTGTTCAACCCTTTAATCACGATGTTTTGCTGTTCATTTTATTAGCTGCCAAATAAAATCACCCAGTGAGTGTGTAAAGCACTTTAACACAATCATCGTCTCTCCTCTTTTCACTTTTCTCTTTTTTGTTACTAAATTGTTTCATTTAATTACCATTTTGTGAGTTAGTTGAATAATAAAGTGGAAAATGGAGCTGCCAAACAGATAATTCATTTTTAGCGAATAAAGGTGATGGCTGTAGCCCAGCAGACAATCAGCCTCAAGCCATCAGAGCTGGCCAATGCATGTCACCTGCTTCAGAATGGCATTTTAGTGACATTTAGTGCTTAAATGACTTTTTACGGAGATAGAAGACCTCAGTAATAACAACTCAAAGCTATGGTCAATTTCTTCAGTCAGGGTTTGTGCTGGTAGGCGTCTTTTATGAAGTTAGGTTTTCCGTGATGAGTGAGAATTTCTAGATTTTGATGCTGCGCACCATGAAAATGCAATTCTTCACTTGATTTAATATCAATCTTAAGACTCTTCGAAATGCATAAGAGGTTACCAGCAATTTCAGGGATTGTCAATAGTCACACTACTTAAACAATTTAAAGTTGTTTTGCACACAAAATTGAAAACCTTAAAATGAAGCATCTAGTTCCTGATTGCGAGGCCCAAGTGCAATCTGTGCCTGCAGGTTTCCGCATTTGCAGGAATTGTGTTTTTTGTTTATTAAATATTTGGGACAATTTGATTATGATCCTGGTTATCATAACAGTGAAGTACTCTCAGGCCCTGTTTAGACTAGTGCATTTTCATTTTAAAATGGCGTTTTAAAACGAAAAAAGATCCTCGTCTACACTGGCGTTTTCACTGCGTTTCAGAAACGATCTCCGTCTACACTACACAACCGAAAACGCATGTTACATGACCATTCATGCAGGTACAACCATAGATATGTATAGGTAGATTCCCTATTATTTAGATGGCAGACGAATCTACGTGCTTGGAGCGGTCGAATGAGGCATCTACCTATACATATCTATGGGTACAACAATGAGCATGGTGTCATCAAGGATACGCAGTGCGAATGTGGGCAGCCATGTCATCGTTTTCAAAAGTCTCCGTTTCGGTCCGTTTACTGAAACGCAACCCCGGAGTTTTCAAACTAAAACGGGGTCTGCAGCGTTTTCAAAAGTCTCCGTTTTCGAGGGTGGAAAACGCCGGAGTAGTGTAAACGATAGGTGTAACCGTAGCAAAGGTTATGTGTTTTAAAACGAAAATGCACTGGTGTAAACTGGGCCTCAGCTCGATTTAACCACTTTTTACTATTTAACCCAATCTATTTCACACAATTTGACAGATTTCCCCACAACGTATTGCAAAACATGTGAGAAAAAAAAAATCTGCAGATTCATGGGCCTTTAATGGTTGGGAAAAAAAATTGGAAGCAAAAAAAAAAAAAAAATGTAATTATTATTTTACAATTATTCTCATAGTTATTTAGTTATAAATATTTGTTATTAAAGCAACACAAGCAAGAGTAGCCTGCAATGTGTCTAAGTCACTGTTACCAATTAAAAAAATCACATATTCAAACTAGCAACGAGCAAGTAACATTATTGCATTTATACAACACTTCAATACAGAAAAATGTAATATTGAGCAACTTACATTTTAGACACTATATTATATGTTACTTTGTTTTTGCTTTACAATCAGCTGAATGAATGATTCAGTGACTCATACTGTACATGAAGGCAGCCACTTGATTTGTTCCTGAATAAATCAGTGGTTTTGATTGATTTGGTTGAGTAAATAATTCAGTGACTTACTCATAAAGACTTGTTGCGACCTACTGGCATATGGATGTAAGTGAATGGGTGCCATCAAAATGAGAGTCCAAATAGAACTCCTTAATGATGAATTTGTTTCTTACAAACATGCAACTTTTCGCTTCACAAGATGTTAAATGATGGACTGGAATCGTGTGGATTATTGTGATGTTTTTATCAGCTGTTTGGACTCTCATTCTGACGGCACCCATTCACTGCAGAGGATCCATTGGTGAGCAAGTGATGTAATGTTAAATTTCTCCAAATCTGTTCTAACGAAGAAACAAACTCATATACATCTTGGAGGGCCTGAGGGTGAGTAAATGTTCAGCAAATATTAATTTTTGAACTATTTCTTTAATGGTCATAAAAAATGCTTTAAAATTCTTTACGAAAAATGTAATTTCTTGTTTTGCTTTTTCTTTAGATTTTACCATACAAATGATCTAGTCTTTGTAAGGTTCTCCCATAGACCAATCCATAAGTAGATGAACTAACATCTCTCACTAACCATGATTTCACCGACACTCACTGAGATGCAACTTCTTGCAGCACATGCACCTACATATTCACACATACACACACACAGATATCCCCAATAGTCTAGACTTCCCCACTAGCATCCTCTATGAGCAGCACAGAAGCCGTCCTGGTTGGGCTAAATCGCAGGGACATGGAGTGTTACCAAATGGGGCCATGATTTGTCTTGTGAGTGTTCAGGCTATCAGCTCGCATCAGCCCGACCGCAGCGTGACAGCTCCTGTTCACTATAGTGACAGCAGCGTTTGCTGCGGGGCCGGCACACTTCAGGTCATGTTTAGGAAAGTTCCTCTCAACCTGATGGCTTGTAAGATCAAATCAATCCTCTGCCTCTCCCATGTCCACTTGTACAAATACACCTTACCTGGAAGACTGAAAGAAGAAGAGAATGACAGTGACAAGTGACTTTTTTTTATTTTTAATAGTTTTAAGTTAGCCTCCAACTGCTTCGCTTGAGGCTTTTTGATTTGATTGCCTATAATGCAGTCGTTCGACTCATTCTAAAGAACAAAAACTGAACAATGTTAGCGATTTAAAGGGATAGTTTACCTAAAAATGTGATGCACTTTTACTCACACAAAGCTATAGTATGGCTTCAGAAGACTTGGAATATGAGTCATATAAACCAATTTATGATACTTTTATGGTGCTTTTTGTCCTTTCAATTAATCTTTCCTTTTGTGTTCCACTTAAGAAAGAAAATTCAAGCTTTTTTGGAACAACATACCCTCTCAGAAAAAAAGGCCCAAAAACTGTCATGGGGTGGAACCTTTTCAAATTGTATATCTTTGTACCTTGTAAAGGATGCGTATTACTACCTTGAAGGTACATATTAGCACCTAAATGGTAACATCTTAGCACGTAAACATTGCAATTTAGCACCTTTTGAAAGGATACCACCCTGGTGGCTTTTGTACCATGGAGTGTAAAGGTGACAGAATTTTTGTATGGACTATCCCTTTAACATCAGAGAATCTTTTCATCTATTCCCTTTTAACCCCTAAGACCAATTTATTTTTCTCTGACAATGAGTAGTAACGGCTCAGTAAATAACGGCACTTTGCACCCCGGGCTCCCCAAATTAGTCAGTTCTTTTCATGTGACTATTCAGAACTACTTCAACTGTGCAACCAACAATGAATATTAATATCTCTTCGTTGGCCGACCGAGTTACATGACAATCTGGGCAATCAAGTGCAAAACAACAATAAACATAAACAACACAACTGACAGACGTGTAACACGGCTAAACACTGAATGAGACAGAATGCAGTCAGACTAATC